AGGGATTAACTCAAACAATAAAATAAACTAAACTTACAATCACAAAAGAAAGAGTTTAAGGTTTATAAACTCTTAAAAGACACAATAGATGAAAGACACTTTCTTTAAATCACACAAGGAATGAATCACCTCCTTTGACTCACACAAATGAACAACTTCTCTTAGCAACAATAGTCAATCACCCAAGAATCACTTACTCAAAGTTATCACTCTGTCCATACTAGATTTTTCAAAGCTCTTTTTCACAAACAGAGTTTCTCTAACAGTCACAACTTTAAACCTCCGAATGAAAAAATTGCTTTCAAAATTAGGTTTAACTAAATATATAAACTTTCTCTTTTTAAAATTAGATCAAGAACTTGTAAAGTCAAGTTACAATTGTTACTGATAATCTATTTCTTTAATTTTAAGAGATAAATGATTATCACATTAGTTTTTTTAAAAAAATTCTCGTTATGATAATTAATTATCATAAATAAATAATTGATTATCACAAAGTCTTTTATGAAAATCTTGATTTTATTTAGATAATCAATTATTTTTGAGCTTATATGAAAAATAAAAATTTTCTTAAGTTGTGTACGCTGCTTTCTGATCCTATAAGCTAAATCTTACACCTAATTTATTCATTACACTTAATTTATTCAGTAATGACTTATTATAAAAATTTAATCACGTATATAAATAAAATACAACTTTCGATATTTGTTGTCATCATTTTGAGTTTTTAACATAGGTCTTTATCATCTTCTTTTGCCAACATCATGGTCATCACATAATTATATTAAAAGGTAGGTAAAATTTTCTCTTCTACTTTTTTGCTTTTGTCAAGTACCTCTTCTTTATATACATTTTATTAATAAGACCAATTATGTAAGTGAAATATTGTTCAACACTTTCTGACTTGAACATCTCAAATTTGTCATAATATCTGTGCATAGATTGCAACTTTGATTTTTTTTATTTCTTCTTTATTCCTTTTTATGATAAGTTTAAAATGTTCCACACATTTTTAACAATTTTGTAATTCATAATTTTAGCGAAAATAAAATAGTCTACTCCTTGTAAGGGATAGTATCAATTTATCTTTCCTTTTATTTTCTTTGTNTACATTTCTAAAGTTAAAGGACTAAATTAGGTCAAAATTTGGAAGAGAGGCTAATTCTAATTTTCATCAAAAGTTAAGGGACCAAAAACATATTTAACCTTTTTTTTATTAGATGTCAAAATTTAGTTCTCGTGAAGCCAAATTCTGACCTTCGTTTTTGTGAACAATCGAGCTACTAGTAGAAAGTCGGTTCTTTGAGAACCGAATTCAGAGCTAGTTTATTATTTTTCTTTATTACAATTCAAAATTCGGTTCTCGAATAGCTAAATTCCAGCCTTTTGTTAACATTAGTTGGGTTACTAGTTAAAACTCGGTTCTCAGGAAACCAATTTTCAAACTGGTTTTTTAATCTCTTTTGTTTTATTTTCGTTATAATAAAGAGAAGAAGGAAAAAAAGTTATATGTTTTTGAAATATTTACTTATGTGTTTAAGTTTTGTTAAATTATACTTTGGAAATAAATTTTTTTCGTTTTCATTTATTAAACAATAGGAGATGAGAATAAAAATTAAAAAAAGAAAAATGTATAAGTATATAAAACAAATAAAAATTTCATTACTCTTACTTAAACCATTACAAGTTTTTCATAAAACACAAATACAAATTTCATTACTCTAACTTGAACCATTATAAGGTTGTCATAAAACACAAATACATAAAGAAAATGAGATTACATTAGCTTACTTACAAAACATATCAAAGATTAACATTAGTCACTCCATCATCATCAATGGATAATGGATCACAAACATAGTCAAACTTCTCAACCTTAATTCACATAAGCTCCATAAGGACCGTTACTGGATGTTAATGAATCACATGTTGAACATCTTCATCATTGTTTAAGAAAACAAAAGTCAGAAGCTCCTTTTTCAACAAATTGGAGAGGGATATGGTACCACAAATGAATTAACTTTAGCTCCCATTATCCCAATAAATGAATTCCAATTATACAACACATATGGCTGATAGTAACCCCATTTGGAAAAGTACAAAGGCAAACCTTTCATCTTTCAAATCTACACTAGCATTAAAGGAATTGAAAACATTCATCTCCTCAAGAAAAAAGCTATTTTTACTTCTTCTTCTAAATAACTCCACAACTTCTAAACATACTCCTCACCGTACAATTCAATTTTGATTAAACTAGACTATGAACTTGATAAGACTTCACTTGTTAGCTTTATTGGGTAAGAGTGGAAAAGACTCGGTCTTTCAATGAATGCATGTGAGTAGCTCCATGTGAGTATTGTGTAAGCTCGGGTTAGCGCTATGTTATTTGTTAGGGTAGGCTTTTTTTAGCATTGTATGGGCTTTGTTCAAAGCATGCTCCTCGAGTGGGTGCCCTTGAGAGGATCCCTTGTGGTGAGTAACTTGATGGAATGGATGGTTCTTAGAGTGTCAAATTTAAAGGACAAATGTTTCTAAGTAGAGAACTTTATGAACTGTGTTTGGGTGTGATTGTGTGTATAGGGTATTTGGACTGTTAAAGCCATAAGACAGGTGTCTTTTGATAGAGAACTATGTTGACTGGTGTTTAATACTTGGTTCTTGAGTGTCGAGGTTAGAGGATGAATGTCTTTTAAACTAAGAACTTAATAAAGTGATACTTGCTGTTGAGGGTCTTTAGAGTGTCAAAGTAAGAGGACAAATGTTTCTAGGCAAAGAACTCTATTGACTAGTGTTAGATACTCGGTTCTTAAGTGTTGAGGTTAGAGGACAAAAGTATCTATACGGAGAGCCTTTAGAATGTCAAAGTCAGAGGACGAATGTCTCTAGACTTAAATTGGGGTGTTACATATGGACTTAAATTGGGATTTCTCCATTGATTGAAACTGTCACATCCTTTTCCTTTAAAAGATGTGTTTGGGAATTTATTATCATATGTTAGAATGGTGCAATAGAATGTTTATGTTGAATAAAACTAAGAGGGGGAGTGAATTGGTTTATTAATATAAAATTGTACATTTAAACAAATTTCCCCTTTCTAAGATCAAAGTTCAATTAAAATCTTTTCTTTTATAATAACAACAAATAATTTAAAGAGTGAAGATCATACAAGGTATTTTATACTTGTTCTGATCAAAAGACTTTATGTATAGTTTTTAATCTCTCTAAAGAGGGATTAACTCAAACAATAAAATAAACTAAACTTACAATCACAAAAGAAAGAGTTTAAGGTTTATAAACTCTTAAAAGACACAATAGATGAAAGACACTTTCTTTAAATCACACAAGGAATGAATCACCTCCTTTGACTCACACAAATGAACAACTTCTCTTAGCAACAATAGTCAATCACCCAAGAATCACTTACTCAAAGTTATCACTCTGTCCATACTAGATTTTTCAAAGCTCTTTTTCACAAACAGAGTTTCTCTAACAGTCACAACTTTAAACCTCCGAATGAAAAAATTGCTTTCAAAATTAGGTTTAACTAAATATATAAACTTTCTCTTTTTAAAATTAGATCAAGAACTTGTAAAGTCAAGTTACAATTGTTACTGATAATCTATTTCTTTAATTTTAAGAGATAAATGATTATCACATTAGTTTTTTTAAAAAAATTCTCGTTATGATAATTAATTATCATAAATAAATAATTGATTATCACAAAGTCTTTTATGAAAATCTTGATTTTATTTAGATAATCAATTATTTTTGAGCTTATATGAAAAATAAAAATTTTCTTAAGTTGTGTACGCTGCTTTCTGATCCTATAAGCTAAATCTTACACCTAATTTATTCATTACACTTAATTTATTCAGTAATGACTTATTATAAAAATTTAATCACGTATATAAATAAAATACAACTTTCGATATTTGTTGTCATCATTTTGAGTTTTTAACATAGGTCTTTATCATCTTCTTTTGCCAACATCATGGTCATCACATAATTATATTAAAAGGTAGGTAAAATTTTCTCTTCTACTTTTTTGCTTTTGTCAAGTACCTCTTCTTTATATACATTTTATTAATAAGACCAATTATGTAAGTGAAATATTGTTCAACACTTTCTGACTTGAACATCTCAAATTTGTCATAATATCTGTGCATAGATTGCAACTTTGATTTTTTTTATTTCTTCTTTATTCCTTTTTATGATAAGTTTAAAATGTTCCACACATTTTTAACAATTTTGTAATTCATAATTTTAGCGAAAATAAAATAGTCTACTCCTTGTAAGGGATAGTATCAATTTATCTTTCCTTTTATTTTCTTTGTTAGCTTCATCTAGTAAATCCTAGTCAATGAAGTTTCAAATTTTGTAAGTCTTTAAATGGTAAGTTATTAACAACTCCTTATATTTATAATCAAGTTTTCCATTTAGTTGGAATCCGACCATATAATATTATAATCTATTATCATAACTCCCTCTTGTAATATATTTTTTATGACTACGAAAACTCTTGTTTCTCACTCACTATAACTTTTTTTTCTATCTATCTTTTTTTTTTTTACTCACTCTCTTAAGCTTACAATAGCAATTAATGTCACATCTAATCAGTTCTGATACCGAACATTACAATACTAGAATAAAATTAACACTCAATCAAAAGCATGAAATAAGGAATAGAACTTCTTAACACATGATTTAATAAATCATCATTTCTGGTGTTGCGGAATATACGGAAAAGTCTTTAGACAGGCTTCATAAAATACATTAAATAATTAAAATAAATAAGAAAATTATGGCTACCTCTTAAATCTAATGGAAACCCATAAATAAAGGGGGTTAAATAAGATGAATTGGTAAAACTTGATTAGTTTAAATAAAGCTTCAAGACAAACTTCAGATATAGCCAAAATCAAACACAATCTGTTTCTCTCAATTTTCCAATTCTTTTGTGCGTACCTAAACAGAAGGCACCTATTCATTTCAAAACAAAAATGAGAAACTTAGTACTAGTACCACTGATTTTGCTTGTTCTTGCTGGTTTTCTATCCAAGGCAAAAGGGTTTATGCAACCATTTACAGATCGTCCTGATGCACTCTGGGCTGACATATTGTCTGATCGTTTCCTTGATCCATTTCGTGCGTTAGAGCAAATCCCATTTGGGTTTGGTAAAGATCAGGCATCCATGGCTGTGTCACCTGCACGAGTAGATTGGAAGGAGACACCAGAGGGACATGTTATAATGATAGATGTGCCAGGGTTGACGAAAAATGATATAAAGATAGAAGTGGAGGGGAATACAGTGCTGAGAGTGAGTGGAGAAAGGAAGAAGGAGGAGGAGAAGGAAGGGGATCACTGGCATAGAGTGGAGAGATCTTATGGCAAATTCTGGAGGCAGTTCAAGTTACCAGACAATGTAGATTTTGATTCTCTCAAGGCTAGGTTAGAGAATGGAGTGCTTACTCTCACCATGGCCAAGTTGTCACCTGAAAAGACCAAAGCTTCAAGGGTGGTTAACATTGCAGGGGATGATGAGCGCAAGCAAGATCTTTGAATTATTAATAAATGATAATAACAATACTCCCGTGGACTTTTTGTGTGCTAATAAATGATCGATAAAAAAGGGTATGTACTCTGAGCAAGGATTTTGTGGATAAAAGAGTTCTACAGAGATCTTTGGTTGTTATCATGTAACACTGGTCTTGTCTGATTAGCTTGTTGATTTTATTGTGGTCTAACTCAAATTTTAGCCTTTGATTATTAAATAAAGTAGTAAGGGAATGACAACAAAATACATAACAAAGTACGAGGTCCATTAGTGGAGAATGTGTTATCCATTAGTGGAGAATGTGTTATCCATTTGTTAAAGCTTTCAAAATATTCGCTTCCATCAAGACAATGTTAGACATACTTAAAACAGATATAACACAGATTATGTCACTACATGATGTGCAAAATAAATATTATAGCATTCAATATCATTTACACGGGGTAAACTGCAAACCTTTGGTCGTATAATGTGGCTGAAGAATTTTGTCATGTTTGCATGAGAATCAGATATACTAAAGCATCCTTCAATTACATCTTTCAGAGAAACGAAATTCAAAGATTGTGGGTATGTCTTCCCTTTGTAGTTTACGTTGCCAAAAAACAGCCCAGGAATAAAAAACTGGACTAGGTTTAGACAGCTTGTTGATATGATACAGTGGTCCAACCAAAATAAATAAAATATAGACATGGCTGTTTTTTTCCCTCTGTTTCTCTGTTCTTGATAAATCTTCGGAGTTGCGAGGACACGAGAGAATAATTACGTCAAACAATTTGGTGTCACTAGAAAAATCCTTGGTCATCTGATGTGGCTGTATGTACCAGGAAATAGTTGCAAGGTCAGCACTGGCTTTTATCAAAAAATTGGGTTTCAATTGATTTTTCTTCTGTTTAATCCTCCAAATGTAGTATGGTGAGTTCAAAACTGTTCAGGTCACGGACTACAGATCAACCACGACTTCATTTTTAAAACCAACGAGACTTTCCAAGAGCCCGTACAACTCTTCTATCTTTGGATTCGATTCGTCAAGAGCATAGAACTGATGAACCTGGTCATCAACCTCAATCCAGCTGCACCCTGGAACTTTATAAGACTTTTGCTGCTTCAGTGTTCTCCTCAAATTCCTCACTTCATCCCACTGTCCCAACTCCCCGTATACATTGGTCAACATTATACCGTAACCTCCATTATGTGGATCTTTTTCAAGCAGTTTTTTGGCCGCAAATTCAGCCAAATCAGTCCGGCCATGCACCTTACATCCATTAAGCAAAGAACCCCAAACAACCTCATCTGGTTCCATGCTCATACCATTGACAACTTCGATTGCCTCATCAAACCTCCCTGCTCGACTAAGAAGGTCTATCAAACACCCGTAGTGCTCGATCCTCGGCTCTAACCCATATTCCCGACCCATCATCTCAAAATACCTATAACCCTGCTCAACCAATCCACCATGAGTACAAGCATTCAACAAACCAATGAAGGTGACCTCATCCGGTCTCACGCCGCCACCAGACCCCACCATATGCTCAAAAATGGCAATTGCACTCTCACTCTGCCCGTGCAACGCAAAACAGTTAATCATCGAGTTCCATGAAGTCAACCCCTTCTCCGGATTCATCCCAAAAACCTTCCTTGCTTTTCCAAGGCTTCCACATTTCCCATACATATCAACAAGCGCATTCGAGACAAACGAGTCACATACAAACCCATTCTTGTACACATAACCATGTATCCATCTCCCAAGCTGGAGCATCCCCGCGTGGCCGCAAGCCGAAAGTGCACAGACCACAGTAACCCCATTCGGCCTATTACGCTCCCAAACCATTCTCCTAAACAACTCAATCCCCTGAGTGAAAGCCCCATTCTGAGCACACCCAGCAATGAGAGCATTCCACGACGGCACATCTCTCACGGGCATCTGATCAAACACCCTCACCGCACTCTCAACATCCCCCACCCTAGCAAACCCAGAAACCATAACGGTAAAAGACACCACATTTCTCTCAGACATTTCATCAAACACCTTCTTTGCATCCGGTAACCCACCGGAAACCTTGGAGTAAGAGTCAACTAGCGCCGTTTGCACGACAGGGTAGTGGAGAAACCCGGATTTAATGATATGGGCATGCAGTGAATCAACGGCGCATGAGTCCGGTCATGCTTTGAGCGCGTGGGGAAAGATGAATTGGTTGGGGCGGGTGGTCTGGGAGCGTAGCATGTGGCGGAAGAGGATGAGGACGGAGGGGTGGTTGGAAGGGTGGGCAGCGTAGGCGGTGATGATTGCAGTGAAGAGGTGGGTGTTGGGGGACGGGTGGTGGTGGAAGATGAGGCGTGCATAGGAGAGGTCGGAGAGAGCGAGGGCGCAGAAGCGAAGAAGCTTGAAGGCGTAGAAGTGGGTATGGGCGTGGCCGAGAGTGGTGAGGTAACCCTGAAGTTGCTTCAGATGATTCAGATGATTGCACTTGCTCAGTGTTTCCAACACATGTTCGTTCAGGTTTCGCTTCATTTGCCTTCTTTTCTTAAGACGAAGAACATCAAATACTTATACAACACGAGTTCGTGATATNTAACCCCATTCGGCCTATTACGCTCCCAAACCATTCTCCTAAACAACTCAATCCCCTGAGTGAAAGCCCCATTCTGAGCACACCCAGCAATGAGAGCATTCCACGACGGCACATCTCTCACGGGCATCTGATCAAACACCCTCACCGCACTCTCAACATCCCCCACCCTAGCAAACCCAGAAACCATAACGGTAAAAGACACCACATTTCTCTCAGACATTTCATCAAACACCTTCTTTGCATCCGGTAACCCACCGGAAACCTTGGAGTAAGAGTCAACTAGCGCCGTTTGCACGACAGGGTAGTGGAGAAACCCGGATTTAATGATATGGGCATGCAGTGAATCAACGGCGCATGAGTCCGGTCATGCTTTGAGCGCGTGGGGAAAGATGAATTGGTTGGGGCGGGTGGTCTGGGAGCGTAGCATGTGGCGGAAGAGGATGAGGACGGAGGGGTGGTTGGAAGGGTGGGCAGCGTAGGCGGTGATGATTGCAGTGAAGAGGTGGGTGTTGGGGGACGGGTGGTGGTGGAAGATGAGGCGTGCATAGGAGAGGTCGGAGAGAGCGAGGGCGCAGAAGCGAAGAAGCTTGAAGGCGTAGAAGTGGGTATGGGCGTGGCCGAGAGTGGTGAGGTAACCCTGAAGTTGCTTCAGATGATTCAGATGATTGCACTTGCTCAGTGTTTCCAACACATGTTCGTTCAGGTTTCGCTTCATTTGCCTTCTTTTCTTAAGACGAAGAACATCAAATACTTATACAACACGAGTTCGTGATATGTGTTTGATCAAGAGCAATTACATTTGATATGTTATGAGTAAATTTTGGGATAAATTTCTATTTAGTAGCTCAATTTTGAGACAAAATTAGAATTTGTGTTTGTTGTAAATATTGATATAGTTTTGCCTCTAATTTTTAAAATTAAATAGACATAATCTTTTTAATTCAATTTATTTTAAATTCTTTTAATATATTAAATGATATATATGAGATTTATAGTATTTTGAGTTATTTATATTTATACCATTTAGATGTGTTTTAGTTTAAATGATAATATGAAATATTTTGATTTTTATTAATATATTTAAGTGATATGTAACTGTTAAAAGATATATAACACCTCCAGTGAAAAAAATATGTAACTCATGAAATGCATTCGCAAATTCGTGTTCGAAAATTCCTAATGTAATTTTACAAAGAACTGTGACATATATAATAATATGGTAATAGACTTAAAGTTGTTGGTCTTTCTTAACAAAATTAGAAATAACCAAGAATAAATTTATACAAATAAAATTAAAGAACAAAATATGTGTAAATTTTAATATAAAATGAAGAGAAATTGATGGTATATTTTCTTCAAAATGTATGTCTTGAGTAGTGAGAAGGATGGGAAGGAGACAAAAAACACACGTAAAAGAAATGTCATGGGAAAGAAAAAGATAAATAGAAAAATTACAAAAAGATTTATAATAATAATAAAAAACCTTTAAAACTATTATATATATATATATATATATATATATATTGTGTATTTTTCTTAAATTTGGGACATTTGATAAAATTATTCCCTCCTCTTTCTTTGCTTTAGAAAATTATCTAGATAAAGAAATAGAAATATGAGTAACTTTTTTATCATTAGGTATCTCAGAATTTGTTTATAAAAACTCTTTCAAGAAATTGTTGATGGTTTTTTATAAAAGTTTTTAAGACTTTTTAATCTTTTTTATCAAAATACCTTTAATTATTTTACAACTTTGTAGTAAATGAATTATTAATTTTATAAATTGTGTATGGAGACTGGAAAAAAATATTAACATTTCCGTATTATTTAATTAGTTAAGAAAAGTAATGATATTATCACAAATAATTTTGCGAAGCATATATATATATATATATATATATATATATATATAT